CCACCCATCCATGGTATTCCATCCCCTCGGCCCCACGCCCAGACTTTCCAGCCAAAGCATTCAGCCCCACGAGGCCTAGGCCCTTTAAAGTCCTGCTGCTCAGGGACCAGCACCTGGGCAGAGCAGGCTCAGGGCGCCTCCCCCTCCTCCCACCCCCCAGGACAGGTGGAGCCCAAGCCCACAGTCACAAGATCACAGTCAGGGCCGCTTTGCTGCCCAGTGCAGGGAGTGGCCGGAGTCACCGCCTCTCCCCTGCCATTGAGCCAGTGATCACTTACAGCTGAATTGTACTTCAGCACAGCTCACCTGTCTGCATCCACCTAGGCTGCTTCTGAGCAGCATGTTTCTCCAGGGGCCTGAGGATCTCGTGTCTGCACGTTCTCGTCCCTTCCTACCAGCTGTGATGGGCTCCATTTCCCACTCACCTGCCAAGGGCCAGGCACTTGGGGCACAGGGTGGAGGTGGTGGCAACAAGTAAGACCAGACCCCCGCCTCCAAGAAAGTATCAAGGACCTGGGGGCAGAGGGAAGGAGGCCCTCACCATCTACACATCTCCCAAGCCGCGTTTAACATTTCCCCCTTCCAGGGCCTTGCTCAGCCTTGCTCAGCACTGCTCTCAGGTGGTCGCTGGTCCCAATCACTTTTCCATTACAGAAATCGATAAGTTGAATTACTCCAAAATAACTAGCCCCTCATGCCCCTGCCAAGCTCATTTTTCTGTGTCTGCACTTGTCCACGTGCTTCTCCCTGGTCTGGGATCTGTCTTTACCAGTCAGTCCAGGAGGACGGATTTTGCCTCTGGCCGTGACTCCCCAGCAGGATGAGAGCGGGACCTGGCACTGGGGATTTAGTGCAAATCGTTGACGCTTACTAGCTGTGGGCACTTGTCAAGCTACTTAACCACCTGGAACATCAGTTTCCTCCTCTGTAGAATACGAATTCAAATACAGCCACCCACCAGCGCACTGGAGAACTAAGTGGAATAGTAATGTACGTGGATGTTGCTGGCATATATTAGGGAATCAGTGAACCCTTGGATAAATATCTGTTTACTCTATGCAAGGATCTGAAACCTGACTATAAATCTATATCATGAGGCCACGGTGTAATGAGGTCCTAGTGCAACTTCAGCAATAACAATAACATCTTACATTGGAGAAACAGATGATCATTTACAAAGGTGCGTTCTCATAATGTGCTCATCTTACAAATGACAAAGCTGAGACTCAGGATAGCTGGGTGAATTACGGAGGTCTGCTTGCTGGTAGAACCCTCAGACTCCCTTCGTATTCTTCCACCTCCTCTATTATTCCTGATCAGAAGCCACAAAGGCAGGGGCAGCTCCAGGATGCTGCATGCCAAGTTCCTCTATCCGGCAGATGCTAAAACGACAGGTCGTTTGAACAGCTGCTTAGAGGAAGAACTGTGAGCTGTACCATGTACCCTCAGTCCTCCTGAAGTCACCTGAGAGGCCAAGTGGGAACCTCCAAAGGTTGGACTCCAAAAGGAAAGGAAGAAACTGACTTCACCAAGCACCTCTTTCATGCCAGGCACATCCACCGCATGACTCCTCAAAGCCAATTTTTCCCAACCTTTTGAAGGGCAGTCACCTACCCCTTTGAGATTCTGCTGAAAGCCATGGATTCTCTTCCATGAGTAAAGTGACAGCTCCTCATGTAAACTTGGGCTGTTTTATGGTTTTCCTTGGACACAAGGGATCTTCTCTTTCGAATGCCCCAATCCTACGATACCAAACATTGTCATAAACCCCACAACCCACACCAAACGACACACACACACACACACACACACACACACACCAGTCAAGTTGAGCTGAATTGCAACTGATTGTTTGACATAATTATACATTTTGTAGATGCATAATAAACCATTAATTTCAATTCTGTGCTTTCTTTTCCTATTTTGGAGCCAAATTTGTTTGGCCACTTTGATGAAATATGTGATACATACAGAAAAATACACAAAGCTGAAGAGCTCCCTGAGTCCTGAGGGGTGAGCACGCCACTAACAGGCCCTGTGAAGGGGACAGGCCTGTGAATACCCACCTCCCACTGGCCGCGGCCATCTCCTGAGTTCTAACACTACAGATTTATTTTGCCTGCATTGGAATTTGTCGTAAGTGAGATCACACAGTTCATACTTATTTTGTGGCTGGCTGCTTTCATGCGACCAAGAAACCTTTTATTCTGGCCTCAGACATTTTCAGAGGCCTGTGAAAAGTTCATAGTCTCTAAGTGCCATCAAAACCACAAATTCTGGACCTTGCCTTCACACTAGAATCTCCAGGGGAAACTTTAAAAAATTCTAATACCCAGGCTGGACCCTAGAATAATAAAATCAGAACAGGACAGGGACAGGAACCAGGCACGGCAGATTTTCTTGCTCCCCCAGTGACATCGATTGCAGCCAACAGTGAGAAGCCCTGGTCTAAGCAATCCTGTGAAGATTAGTATTCCTGTCTTACAGCCAGGGAAACTGAGGCTCCAGGAGGTGCTGCCATGTGCCGTTGCCATGACAACGAAGCTCTTGAACTGCTCTCACTTGCAGTTGTATTTGCATTGTCTTCATCCTCCACGAGCACTTAAGTCAAAATGCGGAGGGCTCCCTGTAAGCCCTTCCAAGCTTTGGAGAGAAGGGAAGTAGGTATCCCAGACCAAAGAGGCAGCACCCCAGCGCGGAAAGAATTACCACCAATCAGACTCCCCCTTCGCCCCATGTCTCTGCCTAAGCCACAGATGAGATGGGAGCATGCTTTCTGGGGCTCCCGGGGGAGTTTCCCAACAGCTCTCTGGCCCGAGCCACTTTAACTGGGTGCAGCACTAGAGTCTGCCACTCGGCGGCACCTCGAGCCTCTAAATCCTGTGGTTTTCAAACATACACCCTGCCTTGGGCCAAAAAAAGGCAGGAAGCAAAGTAGGGGGGGCGGGGAGCTGCTGCCTGGGGCTGCCTGGCCTGGGTCTGGCTGAGGCAGAGGCAAGAATCCTTTGTTCCTGGGGCCTGCTGGGGTCTGACTGACCAGACAGATGCAGGAATATGGTTGCAACCAGACTAGGAGAGAGGCCGCTTCCCCCAAACACGAGCCATCAGCAGAAGCCAGGCAGAAAGAAGCCGGCTCACCTGCTCCTCCCTCAGGGCCCTGTGGAGCTGCCCCTGCGGGCCCCACATGACCCACCCACACTCCCACGGTGCGTTGGGCTTGGAGGAGCCAGACCTCCCTCAGAGCCCAGGCACAACTCCAAGTCCCTCCCTGGGAACCTGCCAAACCCTAACCCTTGTGTTGCTGAGGGCCTCAAGCCACTGAGGGGGTCCCTGAAGCTGAATCTGTCCTCTCCCATGCAGTCTGGAGTCTGTCTGCCTTGATTCAATGCCAAGCTCTAGAATTCCCAGATTGTGTAACTTTGGGCAAGTTACTTAACTTCTGAGAGTCAGTCTTCTTATCTGTAAAATGGGATTAATCATCTCCAACAGAGGGCTATTGTGAGGAGTAAATGATGATAGTCTTAGCCCAGTGGCTGGCACATACTAAGAGCTGAATAAACACTTGCCACTGTTGTTTGTGAGTGTCAGGACTAATGAAGGCATTGCAACAAGCAGCCAGGATGAATGTACCCGCCTGTAACGAGCAGGGACAACCACACTCCCAGGCATGGGCAAGGAAGGACGACCTTCTGTTCCATTGGCTCGGGCAAGGGCCCAGGTGCCCCTAGGGAGCAGTAACGCAAGTGTGAAAGTCACCTAAGCCTTGTTCGGCACCACCGAGAGGGAACCCCTGTCACCTTGCCAGGTGGCAGCATTGGGAGTGGCATGGGATGAGAGGTCTACTCCAAGGGCTTGTGGGTTGGGAGCACTACAGGGCCCAGAGGGACTATACCCAGCAAGGCGCAGCCCCGATCTCTGCGTGGGCTTGTATTACCCAGAACAGGCTCAGAGAAGGCGGCAAGTGCCTGATGGGGAATGCGTCGTGTCTGGTGCAAGCTAGGGTGCAGTGACCAGGGGCTACTTGGGGGGCGGGGGGCCATAGTTCCTGTAGTCAAAGCATACTCTACTCCCTATTCTTGCCTAACTTACTGCTCACCTTGATAAGCAAGGTCTTCTAGCTGATCTTGCTAATCCAGCCACAATGTCTGCCTGCTGTTGTCAGCAGACGCTCGTCGGCCAGTACGTTCCAGTACGTTCCTCATACGGGGACTTGCACCCTGGTGTGAGGCCCCTGCCTGACTGGACAGTTAGCCTGACCAGCAGGAGCTCGAGGCACTAAGACAACAGCCCTGAGAAGGAGGCAGGCTGGGGACTCCCCAACCAGACTGGAGCCATTGTGCCCACAGACCTGAGAGTGTGAAAATAGTTGCCCTATAACTTCAGGCAACTTCTCACCTGGTGCCACCCCGTGGGGGCCGAGCAAGCTCTGGGTCAGAAGACCTAGGTCCTCCAACCAGCTGTGTGACCTCTGCCTCCCCCAAATCTGCCTTTCTCAGACTGATTTAGGTGAACTTCAGATCCCCTCCCAGACCTAGTACCAGGTTTAGCAGAGGATCTGGCGAACAGTAGGTCTCAATAAGTGCTGGTTTCATAAACTCCACGCACGTTCCGCTAGCTCCCAACAGCACCTACTTCCCAGTCCTCGGTACTGAGTGATCTCTGTGATCCAGCCCCTAACGAGGACCCCTGCGTGTGAGCTCAAGAAATGGGTATTTACCTAATTATGCACTTTCGGCCTGGCTTTCCGTCTAAGACGTCCCCCCACTTAAGACTGCAAGCGCCCCATAAGGGCCCCAGAGTAGAGGCTGCGGAGGGCCGGCCTCCCCACCACACCACCCCGCCTGCATCAGGCCCACTGCCCCTCGGGACACACAGAGCTGCAGCTCACGCTGCCTCCTCAAGGTGAGCGGGGCAGGGGGCTCCCTTATCTGTCAGGGCACAGACCTGCCCGCTCCATCACCATGGTGGAGAGCAGCAGCATGGAGCCTCGAGTTGGGAAAGTCCTTTTATTGGAAAAAAAACAATAAAACAAAAGGCCACCTCTTTGCTGGTGCCCAGCCACCCTGGGAGAGGCACAGCTCAGACACCAGGCCCAGCCAGAGTGGCCACAATGGGCACTGGCTGGGCCCAGGGCCATGGTGGCGCCCACTGGGAGACCCTTGAAGTAGCACCCACCTAGGCTCAGGGGCTGGATCACCCTCTCCAGCCCTCTGGGTAAGCACCTCCACCTGTGTCCAAAGCAAGCCGGTCCCTCTTTGGTTCTAGAAGGCTGCCTGCAGCGGCTGATCTTTCATGTCCACTTCTAGCTTTTTCTCCAGCTGAGGCAGCCTCCTGTCCACCTTCAGGGCAGTAGGACAAGGCTGCCTTCTTCCCACTGGCACCCCAGGTCTCAGCAGCCAGGGCCTCATTGCATGGATACCCCTCTTTCCTCTCAAAAGCGAGTTCGCCTTTTCCTTTGCAGGTTGTATGTCTTCTTCAAATGTCCAGGAGCCTTTGCTTACACAGCCTTAGGGAGCCCCAAAGCTTGTGTGCACGGAAGATGCCACATCTGTGGCCCTGTTGGCTCTGCTCTCCTAGAACCCCAACTTCTCTGCTAGAACAGACACAGTACGGTCAGACTGTAGAGAGTCCAGGAAGAGCCAAGCTGGCAGTCCCAGACACAGCAGGGGGTGTCAGGACCCTTATTTACAGGGGGAAGCTGGACCCACACAGAAAAGCAGCCTCAGACAGTCTCAGGAAGCTACGACAGGACGCAGACAGGGACAGTCACTGGCCTGGCAGCCAGGGGGCCACCAGCACACTCACACACCACACGTATACACACGTCGGTATGCGCACACACCCATTCTCACTTACGTGCAGGTTCTAGTCTCAGGAAGCCCTGGTTCTGGAGGTTCAAAACCCCCAATGCTACATCTCTTCACCAAGCACTTCTCCAGATCCCCACTGAACCTCCCAGAGCTCCAGGCTGTGCATCCCCAGGACAGCACCTGGAGGCCTGAAATGTCTCAGGAGCTGGATGCTTCTGGGCAAGACCAAGAGGGTCTCCAAACTTTGGGTGGAAGACGGGGAAGCCCCAAGTCTAGGAGTGGGGTGCAGGAGGGGGTGCTGAGCAGGCCCCCTGCAGTGCCAGCCCCTGTCTCCCTATACCTCAGACTCAGCAGTGGAGGCAGGATCATAGACAGGCAGAGGCCGCAGGGGGCTCAGAAACACACATTGAGAGGGCCTGGGGGAGGGGCGCGAGGGGAGGGTGAGCAGGTGGGACTGGGGTGAGGAATCTGCGAGGTGGGAATGCTCTACGTGATGGTCCTGGGCCCCTCCGCATGTTGAGAGAACCACAGAAGAAAGGGGCTGTCCAAAGTGTATTCTCCCCACCGCTGGAAGATGGGCTCTGGGTAGCCAGCCCCATCCCCTCGAAGGAGCGGGCAGGAAGTAGACCACGCTGCCCGGGGGCGGGGAGGGGGCTGCTGGCCGGCAGGAAACGCGGCTGCGGCCCGCCGCCGCCCCAGGCAGCGGGTGGGCCCGGAGGATGACTCAGAAGCGGGTGCTCTGGTAGCGAAGCCTCCGCAGGTCTGAGAGGCCCTCGGTCCGGCCGTACACCTCCCTGCAGGGACTCTCCGCCAGTCACCGGGCCCCCGCCGCGCCGCCGCCGCTGCTGCTGCCGCTGCCGCTGCTGCTGCCGCTGCTGGAGCTGCCGCTGCTGCACCGGTCCTCGTAGATGGAGATCTCGATCTGGGCGGCGTTAAGGAGAGCAGGGGCCCGGTGCGGTGGGGGCCCCAGGGGAGGGGCAGAGCTGGCCTGCTGCCCAGACAGCAAGGACGTGGAGTCGGGGAGCCAGGCCCAGCCCCCCACCTTGCCCACCCGCTCAGCTCACACCCCCGCAACCGCCTCAGGGGCTGGGGTCCAGGTGAGGGAAGTAGGAATCCTGGGGCGCAGGTGTGCCTAAGGGGGTGTGACCCTGTGGCAAGCGTGAGGCTTCTCCTGACTGCCAACCTGAACTCACCCTCCCTGATGCCAGGAAACTTGTTTGTTACCATCCATTATCACATCTGTAAAATGGGGCTAATAATAGGCTCTTGGGGGTGGTTGTGAGGATTAAATGAAATAACATACTGAAGTACTAAGCACAATGTCCAGAAAAGGCACAATAAAAAGAAACGCCTCTCCCTGGGCTTCGCAGAGTGAGACCTGGTATTTGTGTCTTCTTGACTGGTTCCTCTCCATTTTCCAGTAAAATTTAAAATCTCGTTGTTGCTTATTAGGGCAGGGGATGTAGGTGCACTGTGCCCACCCCTGTCGGGGTAACTGAACAGGTCCGCATGCCCATCCCCCACGCCCTCTCAGCACCTTCCTCCAGGACCCCTGTGAACACGGGGCTGGCACACGGGATTACGTGGGGATCCCATGAGACTGGACACACATTAGTGCCCTTCAGGCCAGGACAGTGAAGAAGGGCTGGGCCCAAGTCCTGGGTCCTCCACCAGCTGGGTGACCCTGAGCCAGTCACTTAACTTCAGTGTCTTCATCAGTCAAAGGGAATGCTCAGGTCACTCTTATTGCGGTGTTATGAGAGTTACATGAATTCACATTTTGAAAGCACTGAACATGATGCTGGCTTCTATTAAACACTGACTAAATATAGCTCAATGAAAGCAACCCCTAAGCTGTATAAACAGCCCCAAGAATCTACAGAGGGGAGAAGGATTAATGACCAGTGATTTGGGGAATTTTAGCTTGATTGGAGGTGCTTACAGTGGCCCCCATTTCTGGGCAAACTTGCCACCCAGGGACCTCACTGGTAGGGAGTCCTGTGCTCTCCCCAAGAGAGTCAGGAAGGATACGACCCTCATGCCACGTTCCACGGGGTCCGTGAGCAGGAGGCCTCGGGGGGCAAAGATCTTCTCATTCTGCTCCTGGATGTATCGGGAGATCTTCTTGAGAACCTGCAAGGAGAGGAGCCGTGAAGGACGAGGGTGACGCGCGAGAGCCCGGGGAGGGTCAGAACCGTGGGGGAGCCACCTTCTCGTAGTGGGTCTCCATGCACAGGAAGATGAAGTAGGCTGTGGCGCAGGCCAGACAGCCCTCCAGATAGGAGCTGCCCCCGACCTTCTCAGCCTCCGCGTAGAAGCCATTGAGGGTCTTCACCGTCTCCTCAAAGAGCTGCCTCTCAATCTGGAAGGAGAGAGAGAAGGAAAGAGCCGAGAGAGAGAAGGAAAGAGCCAAGTCAAAATCAGCCCCCCTGTAGAGTAGACAGGGATGGGGGGGTGGGGGGTAGGAATAATGGGGTGGGGCATTAAGCGGCCACGTTTGTAAGTATCTGTGAAGCAGAAAGCACTGGGCTCAGGACGCCTGGGAGCCAGTACTGACTTGGCCATCAATTAGTCGTGTGACACTTGCGAGCTTTCTTCAAAGCCCCTGGACTCTAATGTACAGGCCCATGGCGAGCAGGAGGCCTGGAAACCAGTCATTCCAGAGGGATCTGTGCTTCACCACATTCCACATCATCTGTGATTCTTTGCTACACTCAAAGCGCCTCGACCCCAGCTGCACTCTGGAGCCGCCTGGGGAAAAGCAAAGCACTCCTGATGCCTGAACCCCTCCCCAAAGGTGCTGATTCCATTAGTCTGGGGGTGTAATCTGGGCATCAGGGTTCAGTTAAGCTCCCTGAGAAATCCTATTGTGCAGCGAAGGTTGAGAAAGCTGCTCAAAAGTGGAGACTCTGAGCCTGCTCCTACCACTGACTATGTCTGCTGGCACCTCGTATCATCCCTCAGGGCTGGAGGGTTGAACTTTGACACGCCCGCAGGGATCGAGGTGCTGTCGAGAGGCTGGATGGGAAACCTGAGGTGTCTTCAATTTTAACTTCGAATGAGGTGATATCAAGGTAATGATAAGGACATTCTGGACTCTTCCAGGAGAGGTGCCTAAACACTTCTATATCATCTTACTTTTATCCTGGGTGGGGAGGGGGTACCATAATAAGCCCGCATTTCCGTCATGGCCTGTGTTCCAAGCTTGCAGAGAGAGTCCTACCCGGCTGTCCAGCTCAGCAGGGAATTTGGTCTGGAACTGACAGATGGTCCCATCGCTATAGTCTCTCTGGATGAAGACCTTGGTGGCCAGCGAGGCGCTTCGCCGGAGCTCCTGCAGATTGTGTACCTGAGGTGGGCACAGGAGACATACTTTCAGGTGACCACTCGCAGGGGTTGATCTGAGGACAAGGGGTTTGGGGGATGTGGGTCTTTCAAAGCTAGACCAGAGTTTGGTCATCCCACAAGTGTTCCAGGAAGGTCATGGGAAGCAGAGTTTGCTGCAGAAAACACCCCCAGGTAGCCGAGAGAGATCTAAAAAAACCTGAAGCAGAGTCAGTGATGAGCCAAAATAAACGGTTCTGGAACCACCAGTAGAATCAAAAGTACACGGGAAAGACTTCCTGGCTGGACCGGGTTGCACACACAGGGGTATTGTGGAGAGTTCACATTTCCATTCATTCAGCAAGTATCAAATGTTTACAACTTGGCAGGTGGCCTTGGGGAGCCCAGCACACGCCAGGACTGAAGTCTCAGATCTGCCGAGGGGAGCACCCAGCAGAGGCAGCAAGTGGGACAGAGGCCTGACATGCCCGTGAACCCAGGGAGACTCCAGTGCCGCCCAAACTGTGGCCTGAGCCAAGGGCTCCACACCCAGCCTGCTCAGCCTCAGGGAGAGGGGCCCGTCGATGACCAAATTCCTCAGAGAAATGACAGAGAAAGTGGACTGAGGTCAGAAATCAGTGAACACCCTACCCTGGAAGGAAGGAGTGGGGTGACTTCTGCTGCTGGGCCACACCTGAGGATTTGGTGTACAGAGAGCCTAGCATTTGAGAGTGGGGAGGGTCAGTTCCCCAGGGGTGCAAGGCCTCTTTCTTCCACTTCCAGCCTCAGTCACCCACATGCAAGACAAGCATCCCACTGGGTGAAACCTGCCAAGCCTGGAGCCACAGGGAGACCAAGCCCCAAAGGCAGAACAAACAGCCGTCTCAAACTGTGTAATTAAGGTGAATCCACTCAGCCACTCAGCTGTCATTTATTGAGTCTCTACTATTGCCACGCTCTGAGCAAAAGACAAGCTGTGAGCTCCAGGGAGGAAGGGAAGTAAATATATAATGAATCAGACTGTGATAAATGCTACAAAGAAGGAACAGAAATGCTTCCTGGGATCTGTGCTGAGAAGTAAAGAAGCAGGGAGATAGCTAGGAGGGGGGGGGCAGAGGGCAGTGAATCAACCCAGACAGGGAGAAGCAGGTGCAAAGGAGACCAAGGTCTGCTCCAATGACCGAAGCAGGTTTCGGCAAGACCAGAGTTGGCCTGGAGATTAGATAAGAGAGTGGTGGAGGAGAGAATAAGTCTAGAGGAGCCCCACGAGGTTGCAAAGGGCAGGAGGACTCCCCTGGAGGGGGGGTGTACAATGAAGGATTCATTAACTTGCCGGGAAAAGAACAAATACCAAGAGGAAGGTTGTCAATAGGGCTGCAGGAATGGATCACTGAAAGACCAAGGTCTTGAAAGGGGCCAGTCTGAGACCACTATAGGAGACTTTCCCAAGTCTGAGTGAACCATGCTCAGACATAGGAGAGGTGATCCCCAAGTGTTGTGATTGGATTAAATAAACGATGTATGGTAATGCATATAAATATATATAACATACAGTGTAATGCTAATCCCGCCACATGGCTCTGGGAAAGCCTCCCCTTCTCCGGGTCTCCATTTCTTCCACTAGAATCTGAAATGTTGAAACTACTTAATCGCTAAAGGCCTTTCCAATGCTAACATTCTGAGGCCTTATCAGGGATTATGAACGCAAATATTTACAGGGGCTGAGCACGTGAGTGGGCCGGGGCACTGTGCCCCATCTCAATAAAGCAGCTAATCATTGCCATGAGAGAATGTGCTCCAAATTTGCCACAGTTCTGATTTTTTTAAGAGGAGCTGTAAATCCAGATTCTCTAATATCAAATATCCTGGTTTTTAATTGTTTCCAATACATTGTTAAACTTATGCAAGCCGGAGAAGGCAAACTTGTGTCCAGATCCACCCTGGGGCAGCCAGTTTAGTGCCTCTAAATAAGGAATCTGTGGCAGGGGCCTTGAACCAGAGCTGGAAGCAGGCTCCAGGCCACCTTACTTTAACTCTCAGGAAACAGAATGCTGGTTTTGACAAGTCCGTGATGCTCTGAAACCCCACAGGAAGGACCCAAACATGCACTCACGCCTCTCAGGTCACAGCTGCCCTGTGCA